CAAATTTTGTTACCAAAAGGATCCTGAGCAATTTACCTAAACAAACGTAACAGTATCACTGCCAGCAGGATCTTGCATCTCTTCCTGCACTATATCAAAAATTTCCATCATTATTGAATCTAGGGGTCTGTTCTTTTCCTGCAGTCTCTGGTGCCCCACTCCTGTGCTCCTGACACATGGCATATTAATGGCATTAGCATGACTTTTGTCATATTAAATGGCATCAGCATGACTAATGCCATTTAATATGGCAAAAGGCTGTGCCTGTGACTGAGTGTCAGCTCCCTTCCTCCTCTTTATCAGCTCTTGAATCCAGGTGATTCCGAAACATCAACTAAGATGTGATTTTAAATTTGGTGCTGTGATACTTATAAAATCATGCTACACTGATACCAGTTACAAAAACATCCTATGCTACCGTGATCATAAAATTCTATACTATGCTGATCATAAAACGATGTTTTTAAAACATAGACATTTGATTGCAATTACAGTCTAGTGCCATCATTCTGCTGAGGTTCTGCAAAGGAATCAGTTTGTCTTTACAGTTGCAGTTGGTAACTAGAATTATAGGACAACCACTTTCAATTTAAGATTGAATAGTGTCATCTCAGTGGGGTAGGAATCAGACATATTCATATGGAAAATTGTCCTGTTGTGCCAGTGAGGGCTTTTGGTCTGTGTCCTGCCTTATGCAGCACAGCAACACAAGGACTGGAAAGAATATGGATAGGAGAGCAGCTTCATTTTAGGTTGAACAGAACCTCCAGATATTTCTGGACCACTGTCTTGCTGAAAGCTGGGCCAGTCTAAATCTTGGTATTCAGGGCCCTCTCTGTTTGAGGTCTCAATTTCCAAAAATGGAGATCTCAGTACCACTCTGTACCAGAGCTCAACTTCTCCTCACTGTGTGGGAGGCCCTGTTACTACCCAAACGTCTGTGTTGCACTGGAACTCAGAGCAGGATGGTCAGAATCCTGAGATAATTGCACATTGCAATGTGCAATTGTAGGAAAAAAAAAAAAAAAGCAAAACCAACAACAACCAAAAAAAAAAAACCCAAACCCAAAAAACAACAAGGAAGAGTGCTTGCACCAAAATGACTCCTTGCACGAAAGAGCTCCCATTTATCCAGCTGAGCTCAGGCTACTTCAAGGTTCTAGACAAAATATGCAATCTCTGGAGAACCCTGTACTGCTACAGCTGCATCTTTGCCAAAATGTGGCATTGTCTGAAGAGTAGCTGGGATTCAAGTACATAATTCCAATGGCTACCTGTGCTCTTGTTCTTGGAGGCAAAAAGATCATCACAAAAGTAGAATTCAAGAGGAGTGTCTGGTGAGGATTTTTTCCCTGCAGCATGAGAATATGGGACAAGATGGTTGGATTTAAATAACTAACACATGCTCACAGTATAAGAATTTCTCCTTACTCGGGTATAAACTAATTGCAGGAAGATGTCACCCTGGAAAGTAGAAAAATCAGAACTTCCTAATAATCCTATATTTAGTCATACATATGCATGAGAAGGAAAACATTCAGCATTTTCATAGACTGTGGACAACAAATTGATCCCTAATCATTACCTGGGTATGATTTGTGTGATGCAACATGCACAAATAAGAGAAATCCAAATGTGTTATGGATGCTACATACCCTTTCTGAACCCTGGAAGATAACTGTAAAGTTAGACTTGGCAGCACTGCTTGAGTGTCTATTAATTCAGAAAGTACTTTGCTCTGCATGTTACTTCCACTTTTTCTTTATTTTAATTTGAAATGCACTGCATGTACTGCAACTCTTATTACACATGGAAATCAGAAGTATGAGAGGAAACAAGACCTTATCAATTCCACAGTAGACGCTACTTAACTTCATTATTTAATTAAATTAATATGATCAGGATGTGAACACTTAGCACAGATTAGTGACTTGTGTGCAAGGATATGCCTGTATCAAAATGTAAGATTGAAATGTAAGTTGAAACAAACTGTAAATTATTTCTACTTCAAGAGATGCAGATCTGAGAAGTAGATATTCTATTCAGATCATAACATTTTAGAATTTGATATTTCTGAGAAAAAATTAACTTTCATCATCACCAAACATCCTTATGTTTGGCAAAAATATATGCTAGAAATCTGCCAACCAGAACTTAAAAAATCTGGTCAAAGTTCTAAAAATGACAAAGCCTGTTTCCTTCAAAAAAACATATGAAAATTACTCAGAGAAGGGACTAGGAATCCTGCAGGTGTAGGTGTACCCTGCATGAGCAGATTGAGATTGGAAAGCATCTTGTGCACATGCAAAAATGTTGTGGGCCTTGCAGATATATATTGGAACAATCTCTGAGATTAGAAAGACAACAGAATTCTTGATTTGACTTCCCTGCTATGCCTCTTTTACAGATTAGTCTGTATGTATTCAGATTATTCATTCATAGGTATTTATCTAGGTTTGGGATTTCCTAGGGTTATCCTGTACACCCATAGTTCCTATCTCACACACTGCTGGGGGGCAACTAAAGAGAAATTCTGAAGTATTGGTGAAGCTTCCCTGCATCAATGTGCTTTTGCTCATTTTTCACCTCACAAGCTGCCAGTAAATGCAGGGAAGAGAATGTGGTTCCTCACTGAGCCACAGGGGACGGTATCAAGCTGAGTTTGACTGCTGGGGCTTTCTTGCCCCTCCCATGACTGGCAGAACAGGAATTAGGGAGCTGCTAGATTTCTGGATAATGAGATCCTTGAGTTTTAAAGAAATTGAGACTCATCTTGCTACAGGGCAAAAAATCGCTCTCATACAAAGGGCTTAGAACATACCACTCCTGAATCAGCAGCTACTGGGAGTCTTGCAACCCCTGAAAGACCCAGGTACAAGCCAGTCAAGAAACAGGACACGGCTCAGGCTCAGGCTGAGAAGTTGATCTGAGAAAAAAAAAACTTCCATAGTCAGACAAGATGAATATGCTGAGCAGAGAGAGGAGACCAACACTCAGGATGTAAAAAGAAAAATTTGCTGATGACAGTAAAGGAGCATTCAACTCTCCACATAAGCTGATGAAAATGTTGCAGGAAGGAATTACAACTGAAGCCTGTACTCACAGGGGAGGAGGTTTGTTCTCAGGCACTCACTAAAACATACAGACATGCCTATGTTGAGCAAACTGCAAGGATAGTGCCCAAACTCAGAGTGAATGAGGCTTTTTATAGAGAATATGTAGCCAAGAGCAAGGTTAAAAGGGTCCATAAAACCAGATAAAAACTTCTTTATGTAAATCTAGTCCATCTTTATTTCATAAAGAGAAATAACTAATGAATATAGATGAGTCGGTTTTGCCCTCACAATTCATGACTGGTTGTCGGCGTGAAAATACACTACAGGTATGACACTGGGCTTCAACAATGCCAACAGGGAGCTACACAAGTGTTTGCCAAAATGCAACAGAGCAGTACACAGATGACTTGTACTAATAAGTAGATAAAGGCTTTCTCTTCTCTTCTCTTCTTTTCCCTCCCCTCCCCTCCCCTCCCCTCCCCTCCCCTCCCCTCCCCTCCCCTCCCCTCCCCTCCCCTCCCCTCCCCTCCCCTCCCCTCCCCTCCCCTCCCCTCCCCTCCCCTCCCCTCCCCTCCCCTCCCCTCCCCTCCCCTCCCCTCCCCTCCCCTCCCCTCTTCTGATTATAAAAAGGTTAAAAGAGCTCCAACTCCCAAATGATTAAAAACAATAGTGCAAAACATGACTGTGCCTGACATCTGCACATCCCTCTCCAAACTGTGCATGACATTGCCTTTCTCATCTTCAAAACAGGGTTGCATCTCAAGTCTAATTTTTGGCCACCCTTTTGTGCAGAAAGCATGTTAGGGAAGACAGATAATACTCTGAACATCCCCCCCCCTTCCTTCTTCTCCCCCCAGTTTTATATGCTGAGCATGATGTCATATGTTATGGAATATCCATCTGGTTGGTTGAGGTCAGCTGTCCTGGCTTGTGTCACCCCAAGTTTTTGTGCACCCCCAGTCTGCTTGCTGCTGGGGCAGTGTGAGAAGACAAGGCCTTGGCTCTGTGTAAGCACTGCTCATCAGTAACAAAAAAACCTCCCTGTGTTAATAATTCTATTTTCAGCACAAATAGCACCGTAATAGCTATTGTGAAGAAAATTAACTGTACCCGAGCCAAAACCAGCACATCATATTAGGAACATGTCCACAGCTCCTAGTGTAACTGCAATGTTCTTGTGCAGATTTTTGAACTATATGAAAAAGGTTCATTGCTTCTTGCTCATTTCTCTGCATTGATGGACTTGATAAAGCAAAGGGTAAATAATGCTTTGCATAAAGGAATCACTCTAGAAAACTCTGTCACATGTGTGCATTGAGGGAATGAGAAACTTTTTTATTTCTTTTATTGATAGGTCTGAATTCTGATTAGCAGAAGATTTAAAAAAATGCATTTGTGAGGCATTCTCTAACTCTTCATTCGAAATTGCATTCCACTATGCAGTGTAGACAGAACAAAACTGCAAAAAATCTCTCCTGTCACTGATCATGATGTAGAATTGAAGCACCACAGGTCAAGCTGAGTAGTTCATCTGTTTGCTTAACTTTTTTATTGTGGCAAAGGCCAGAGATAGGCCTGGAGAGATCAGCCTGCAGGTATTTCTATCCCCACTTGAACATCCATTGAATGCCTCCAATATTCCCTAAAACCAGACCAAATCAGGACTAGGATGAGGACTAGAGTGAGACTATTACAGCTGGGCAGACAGAACTTGGGAAAAGTATATATTTAGTATATGTTTAGTATATACTCTAGTATATGTTTACCTTTGGGCAGATGGAGAAAGATTAAAAGAGCAATACTAAATGGCTGTGACTGTGGTGGCCCAGATGACAAATCCTTCTGGCAACACACAAGCTGAGCAGCATGATTCGCACAAGTATCATCTCTGCATTTGATTTACTGTAGCTCTTACCTAGGAACACACATGGGAAAGGTACCTACCGAAAAATATGCAACATCCTGTTTGCTTAGCATCAACCCTAGGCCAAAACCAGGGCTTGGTTCCTTATTTAGGCGCCAGCTGGAACACTCCACGGATGGGAAAGGGGACACAGAGGAAGCGGTGGGAGAGAATTCAAACTGTGCAGGTGGTGGCTGCGGGTCCCGCGGCCACTCCAGACCACAGGCGGAGGCACCGAAAGGAAAGGAGCGGGAAGGCGCCTCCGTCCCCTCACGGCGGCAGCTCCCCTCCCCGCGCGTCCGAGGGCGCAGCGAGGGAGCCCCGCCGGATCAGGGCGCGCCGGAACGCGCAGTGAGGCGGCACCAACACCCACAATGACACCGACACCGGCACCGGCACCGGCACCGGCACCGGCACCGGCACCGGCACCGGCACCGGCACCGGCACCGGCACCGCACCGCCCCGCGCAGGGCCGGCCCGTCCGCGCCGCCCCGCCGGCACCTGGCGCGGCCCCGCCCGGCCGCGGCGGTGGGCGGGCCCCCATGCAGATGCGTCCCCCGCCTCTCCGGTGCGTGCTGAGGTCAGGCTGGGCTGCGCTGCCAGCGCGGAGCAGTGGGGCTGAGGTCGCGGCAGACCCGGAGCCGCGGGGGCGGGCGCGGAGCTACGGCGAGCGCCTGGCTCGGGCCGGGAGCGGCTCCCTGCCGCCGGGAAGCCGCGGGGCTCGGCGGGGTCCTTCCAGCCGGCGGCAGCGGGAGAGCGGGGAGAGCGCGGAGCGGGGAGAGCGCGGAGCGGGGCGCCCGGCCCGCCCCGCCGACCCGCTCCTCCATGCGGGCGGCGAGCGGGGCTGGGGCGCGGGGCGCCGGCGGCAGCGCGCAGCGGTGCTGAGGCCGCGATCGGGAGAGACGATGGCCAAATGGCTGAACAAGTACTTCAGCCTGGGCAATAGCAAGACCAAGAGCCCTCCGCAGCCTCCGCGGCCCGACTACCGGGAGAAGCGCAACGGTGCCGGCAGCGCGCCCCGCCCCGAGGGGCCGCCGCACCTCCACCTCCACCACCACACCTCGCCCGGCTTCTCTCGCCGCCGCCTGCGCGACGACACCAGCGACCTGCTCCGCGCCTACCGCGCCCAGAAGGACCGCGACTTCGAGGACCCCTACAGCGGGCCCGGCTCGTCCCTGCGCAAGCTGCGCGCCATGTGCCGCCCGGACTACTCGGCGCCTGAGGACCTGGGCGAGGCAGCCCTCAAGGCTTCCTCCTCCTCCTCCTCTTCGTCGTGCTGCGCCACGCCTCCCACCACCGGCTCCCCGCACCTCTTCCGCAGCCACAGCGAGCGCCGCCCGGCGACGCCGCCCGACGTGAAGTACATCTCCCCCAAGCACCGGCTGATCAAGGTGGAGAGCGGCGCTGGAGGCAGCGACGGTGCGGGCAAGAAGCTCAGCAAGGGCTCCAAGCAGCCGACGGCTGCTGCCCCCTCTGCCATGAAAGATAAAGTAAGTGCTGCGTGCTCCTGTCCCCGCCCCTGTAGGCTAGGTGGTAGGGCTGGGGCTGTGTCAGCCCATGGCAGGAGTTTTGGCGAGGGGACCAGCTGCTGTACGTCTGGAGTTGCTGCTGTTCTCAGCCATCCTTCATTGATGGCCTGGCTCTTTTTAATACTTCAGGTCATGCAGGGCATGTGCAGCGTAGCACGTGAAGTGATGGTGCCCTGTCCTTTTGGCTTCCAAGCTCACCTTCCTTCTGATAGGGCAGGTTCACTGGTGTGTGTAGCCTTGCTTTGAGGCACAGTTCACTGCCAGCCTCATGATGGGTACCAAGGCTCTTGGTGTGCCCCTGCAGACAGGATATGAGTCGATATGAGGGGAATGCTTGGGGAGCGATAGAGGCCCTTGAAAAGCCTTGTGCTTGTGACCCCAAGCTGAGGCCTCAGCCCTACTGCATGTGGGATGGGGCAGTCATATACTAAAAATACACTGTTTTTACGGAGACAGTTTCTCATTTGTTTATTTATAAACTTTTTACCTCCTAGTTCAGTGTTAAAGGTGAGGTGGTTCAAAGTCCTGGGTTACAATGGCATGGCAACTTCCATGATAGCTGTGTTTCTGACTGGCATGTAGCTGAAGCAAATTCCATAGACACTTGCCCAGTTGCAAACATTATGCTGTATTTTACTGGTCACTCTCTTCAAATTTTAACAAAACATTCTAGACACAACACTGGAAAGTACTGCAGTTGGGAACTCAAGTTAGAGAGGGAATAGCATTAATTGTTTTTTAAGCCTGCCTGTGTTGGTCTTGTGAGTATAGCACAGTTTTTCTCATGTATTGGAAATAAACGTTCCTCTGTTTTCTTAATTGGCATTTTAAACTCCAGGATAATAGTCACATCACAGGAATTTCAGGTATGTTCTGAATGTTATCAGTCTAAATGATCTGTGTGTACATGTTTAAGTATGTAACATGATTGCATTGCCACACTTCCATGGCAACTTGATAAATTATATCTGTCCAGGTGGAATTCCAAAGAAATCTGCTTGTGATGGTGATGACATATGGTGAAAAATCTAGGATTTATTCTATTGTCTTAGTACATGTTCCTGGCTGGAAGCAACTTCTTTTGTTGAAAGTGATTGATTAAAAGTTAGCATCTCACTATGTTTTACACTGTATGTTATAATCTATTCAGTCTTCTTTAAAGTTCCTACATTAATACTAGCTATCCTCTTTTAGGGAACGCCTCTCAGCAAAAACAAGTGCTTGGGGCAAAATGTATCTCTTTCCTTTTATAAAATCACTGTTCAATTTTAGACCCTACTGAAGCAATTTTCATCAAAAAATACGTATTTGTTGCTAGGTAACCTGCGGCTTTGTAATGGTCATAAATCTGTATGCTGCTCCCAAGCTCTTGTTGCAGGTTCTGAAACTTGTGGGCAAAAATTCTCAACCATGTTCGGGGTTTTGTCCCAGTTATTGTGAGAGGGAACTATATGTGACAAGCAGGAAATCTGAATATATCTCAGAAATAAAATCATCCCTGTGCCTCAAAAAGCCAACTGTGCCTGCCTGCAACAACATTTGTATGCAACATAGCTTGCCTTTTGTTCAATTGTGTTATTTTATCCCAGCAATGGATGTGAAACCTTTTTTATTTCACAGCCCTGAAATGTAGAGTTTGACTGGTGAACTTGGTAAGTAGAGATCATAGTGGGCTGGCAGGAAACTGCTTCTCTTCTACACCTGTGATTCACTGAGGAAGAAAAATCAGGAGTTTAGTTAACCAAGTGTCTGTAGGCAATTGAAAACAAACTTCTCTAAGAAAGTCATAATAAGGAGAACAGTCAAGATGGAATTAAATCCCCCAAAGCTAGAGGTCTGCTGCTCAGAAGAATTCACAGACATGCTGAAAACATTTTTAAAACTCTTTTTTTTTTTGTGCTGTGTGTAACCTAGCATAAACTAGTAAGCATTTTAGGGATGAAAAAAATAACTAAGTGCTCTATAGTTCTGTCTTCATAGAAGTATGTTAATGTTTAATGATCCAATAATGCCTGGTTAAATGTTTGTGTTTCATTCCAGCATTGCTGTTTCAGTGTTTTGTTTTTTTTTTTTTTCTGATTTAATTTACAAGGATAGAGTGCTGTTTTCCTTTATGTGTTGATTGGGAAGTGAGAAGTAGGGGTTTCAACAAACTCAGTGAACAATTTTATATCTTCCGTGGTTTGTCATCAGTAAAGAACTGGGTGAAAAGCTTAGTTGTGTGTCATACTTGAAAGAGTATGGAATGGGAAGGAGCTTCAAGGAGGTGCTTGTTTGGTGTGGTTACTTATAAAGGGCAAATAGCAAAGTATGGATAGTGGCAGATCGGTTAGCTGAAATTCCCAGAGGAAAAAAAAAACTGTAAACTAATTGATTCAGGGAATAAAGGTGATGGAGATTTAAAGAGGTGGCAGACATGATTATATTATGCAAGATTTTAAACAAAGCCTGGTAAAATAACCACAGAGATGTAATGTATCAGGGATTTAGGAAGTTCTGATGTGTAACAGTGGAAACACAAATTAGAGCTGAAGAAGACAAACCCAAATTGCCATGCATCTTTTAGTAGTGAGGTGACTAACCTCTACAACAGATGCCCAGCAAGAGTCATCATTTCCAGTGGTCTTTGAATTCAAATTGTTGGGTGGATTTTTTAATTATTTAGGTCATACAGTTAGGTGGGTTTGGGGACTTTAACTGTGATGTTTACCTTTAGACAAGGGAGAGCAGAGTGTTTTAGAATTAATGGCTGAAGCAGTTCAGGTCCTCCAGTATGGTGGATAAAGAAATTATTGGCTTCCATCTTTAGTGCTGGCTTGTGAGAGCTTAATTTATTTGCTTGCCACACAGAAGCTAAGGAGTGTGGGCAAGTTTAAACAACATGTGGTTGTATCCTGGATCAATCTGGCATCTCCTGTATTTGTGTAAGAATAAATGCAAGACCTGGTTTAAGACCAGCTCATTAGGCAAACCACTTGTGAATGGAGATCAAAAGAAATAGCTGAAATCTTCCTGAGCAATTGTCCTCTATTTGGATTTACACACACATGATGTGGGGAAATCCATGAAGTAATAACTGAGGGGGAAGTGTCTGTATGAAAGGATACTTCAGATATGTTATCACCTATTACGTATTTGAACCTAACCGTTTCTCTGCCAGGTTTTGCAGCTGAAGAACCTGGGATACTTCCCCAAAACAAGCTGCATTATACTTCATCACGGGAAGTTCTTAAGATTTAAAAGCTGGCTTCATAGCATCTTGTCCTTTAAAAGACATTTATTTCAGAATGAGCAACATTTTGCACTATCTCTGTTCAGTGGAGACAGAACAATGTAACAGTTCCTTGTACTGAATGCAGAAGACATTGCAAGATCCATTTCCACAGGTATTAAAGAAATTTTTGACATTAATCTCTCTTCTCCATTAGATAGGTTTGTTGGCACAGGTCAGTTATGGTATCTGGTAGTGCCTCAGGACAGGGACTCTGAACAAATAAATCCCTAGGCAGTTATACACTTAGAATCCAAACTCCCTATCCCTCACATGACAGTCTGGACAAACAGCAGCATTGGGGTCTGGTTTCTTCATACTTCTGATTTTCTGTTTTTTTACCAACTGCTTGCTGTGTGTTTAGCTGGTTCTACTGTTGGTGTTGTAATATGGTTGATGCATATTAGCTGCAACCTATTATTTTCTTAAGTAATATTTAAAATGTTAGTTTTCTCCAGTTTAATTATTATTAATGTACATATTGTTGGCTCCAGGCTGTGCTATAATCTCTGTTCAACTAACAGAACATAACCTGATAGTTCCAATACAGTTCAACCTACAGCCTAACAATTCTAGCTACTTTAGTCAAACAAGCACTCAGCTACTTTAAAATAGTACAAAATTTTCAATGGCAAGACAGAATGTATCTAATGCAGTAGAGAATAACTTGATTCTGTACAGTCAGAGTGGATCTAGTGCAAAATCATGTGAATATTGTGTGGCAGCAGCAATCAAGCAGACAACTGTCCAGCCAACCAGGCAACTGTTCAGGACAGCAGAGTTGCTGACTTGATGTACAAAGTTCTGAAAACACTGTCTGTGTGTAAGAAACAGGTGCCTTTCACTAGACTAGCAAAGTAATCTAGCTTTTTGAACTTCTGACATCTTGCATGAAAGTGATTGGACTCTGTACAACATTATTAATATATTTTAGAGTTGAGCAGATGCTTGTCTTATTTCTGTATGTGGAAGGTCTATATTTTATTTGATCTTTAAACTGAGAACAAGTCGTGCATTTAAGAGAATCTTGCAGCTGGTATTTCAAGGTGCGCTGAGAAAACACTTGAAAGACATTTAAGCAGTGTTTGGGTTATTTGTATCAGACAACATTATTTCTAGAGATCCTAAATTACAATGATACCTCAATGTCTTATTCCCATGTTTAATCCATTGAAGAAGAGTTTCATGATGCCTCTCCGTACAGTTGGTTCTACTCTGAAATAATCTTCCTCTCTGCATTTGGTTCCCACTGTTATATGGCTCTGTCTTTGAGTAAAATAAAAAAAAATACTCACGGCTGCTGGTTGTGCATGAATTGCTTAGGCAAGGCTATGCATAAAGGCAGGAAGTTATATTTTTTCTGCATATCTATGTTGTTATAGGGTAGCTGTAATGCAGCTTAGAAATGCAAATTTTCGCATATGTTAGTCTCATGATTAAGAATCTACAGCAGTCTTGTGAACAGGAGGATATTTAGACAGGACCTGAGACTTTGGAGACTTGGTAACTTCAGGGCTTTTTTTGGAATGATGCAGTGGGCTGTTCAGTTACAAGTACGCTTGGCATCTGCACTGTATGCACAGCTTGGAACACTCTCAGCTTTGGAAGCTATCCAGATTATCAGACTTTTGGGCACAAAGAGATCCAAGCAGAGAGAGGAAGGAGTATGAAGCAGCTGAAAGACCTGGAG